CAGCGGCCCTAATCCACTCTGTCCCTTGCAAACACCTCTGCATCCTTGTGTGTATTTCTCCTGTCGGAAAAACACTACAAGGCAGCTGCTGTAGTTTCCATGCAATGGTTTACCAAAGGGATCGACTTTCAAATGACTAAGGTGATCACCTGGCCACTTTGTGCTTTGGCGCACTGATGTCCATGCTTGGGGTATTAAAGAAACGGAGCACAATCACCCATTGCTTCTGGGGCCGAAGGGTGTATTTTATTGAGATAACATGGAATTATCCTTAAGAATTAGTTAAGGCTCAGATAGAAAAGCAAAGCAGTCTAGGCATTTAAAGTCATTAAAATAGAAGATTGGATACAGATAAATCCACTGAAAGAAAAGGATGCTGAAAGGCCAGGGAGATGCTCTGCTAGCTCCTGCTAAAATTCCAGGACCCACTGAATGGTTACCAATACCTGGGACAGTCAATTGGGTACTTTTCAGAGACTGACCAAAGTGCACCCATTCACCCACCTCTGCTGGGAGAGTAGTAATGTTGCTCAGCTTCTCCTCTGTCTTCTACACTCAATGGGATTCCTTTTATGGGTGCAATATAGACAGGAAACCTGCTGGCAAGGAACTCTGGGAAATGTGGCTCCTGGTCTTTTAGCCCTGAGGTGCAGGGGTTAACATAGAGAAAAGTTCCAAATTGTCAACTGACAATCCAGCACAGGTTACATTCATGTCTCCATTGTTGTAGGAGAAAGGAGAGGTTCCATTTTCATTTTCAATAGAAAACAACCGTCTTTCTTTTCTTTTTTCTTTCTTGCTTCCTTTTTTATTTGGTACAGTACTGGGGATTGAACCCAGGGCCTTCATACTGACCTATGTCCCCAGACTTTTAAAAAATTGTTTTTTTTATTTTGAGACATTATCTCACTAAATTGCTAAGCTTTCCAGGCTGGGCTCAAACTTACAATCCTCCTGCCTCAGTGTTCTAGAGTGCTAGGAGTATAGGTATATGCCACCTCACCTGGTTGTGATATTTTTATCAAAGAAGTTAAAACTTCCTCCCTTTATCACCTTAATCAGCAAAACAATATTGACTATAAAGAGAATAGAGCTATCAAGGACATTGAAAGCACTATATTCAGTCATTTACATGTTAATGATCAAGATGAAATTTGAGAAACACTTTTCTAAATATTTGAGACTTTGTAGGCTATCCAGCCATAATTACAACCACTTAACTCTGTGCTGGCAGTGCTAAAACAGACGTAGACAATATGTAAATTAGTGAATGTGACTGCATTCCAATAAAACTTTATTTACAATTAAAGACAGTGGGTTAGATTTACCCTACAAGCCGTGGCTTCTGACCCTTGATCTAAAAAGTAATAAAGCAAAACAAAACATACAAACCCCTCTCTTCCAATACAGGTGCACAAATAACAAAACATTTTAGCTACCTCGTGGAGTTATTTGGGACAATGACAATGCAAGAGACTGGGTAGGAAACATTTGTTTAGCTGTTGCTAAGCAGTGGTGATGTGGGCTGTTTATAATCCTTGGTGAGGAGGAAGCAGAAACTAGTAGCAGAATCCATGTGCATCCTGTGCAGTTGCTTACACATGTAAGTGTGTGTAGTGCCTGGTGTGTATAATTCTCACCCTAGAGTCTAAGCCTAGGCATTCTCAGCAAAACTTTTTGGCACCATCATAAGCAATCTTTTCAATCGCAAGTGATGAAAACCCAATCCATGCTGGCTTATGCAAGAGGCAGGGTGACGTGTTGCTGAAAACACACAGGGTGTGTTGGGTTTGCAGTAGTTAGTTGGCTGCGCCAGGTATGCGGTGCCACTGGAAGTCAGGTTCTCCCTTCACTCAGCTGTACTTCTTCTGCTCTTCATTCTCACTCACTTTCCTTGGGGGAGGAGCATATGTGATCTGTCATGAAAGCTCAGTGCGCAAAGAACGCCCTTTTCCTCACAGTTCTGACAAATTGCTGATTGAAGTTGGCCTAACTGGGTCCCAGGTGAATGCAGAACTCATTATTCTGACAGAAGGGAAAGAAAATGCACACTGCCTAGGTTATATTCCCCATTGCAGATGGAATCAGCCCCATTGCAAGTGGACTAAAGATAAAGGAGGAAGTATAGTTCCGAAAAGGCACATCAGGGTGCTGCTATCAGATTGTACTATGCGTCAGTCAGCTTTCCATCACTATAGCAAAATACTTGTGATCACCAACTTAAAAGGAGAGAAAGTTTATTTTGGCTCACAGTTTTAGAAGTTCTATCCCATGATTCATTGGTCCATTGCTTTGGGCCTGCCACGAGGTAACAGGTGTGTGGAACAAAGCAAATCTAACTACTTTATAAGCCAGGGGGAGAGAGGGAGAAAAAGAGAGAGAGCCCATGGCCAGACAGCTCTCTTATGAGCACAGCACTAATGATCTAAGAACATCCCACTAGGCCTGACCTCTCCAAAGTTCCATTGGCTCCCTATTAACACTGCCTGGGGACAAAGCACATGGACTTTTGAGGAGTGTTCAAGAGCTGAACTATAGCATAGTGCATTACAGAGTAGGCTAAAACCAGGAGACTACTAGTTAGGCTTTCTCTGATTGCATTCCAAGTACTGTTCACACACAAGGTAAAGCACAGATACCTGAAGGAGGTGAGCCGTAGCTGACTCTACAGCTCAGTTTCTAACATCCCTCTGAGTAACGGTGCTGTGTCAGCTGTAGGCGTGTACTGCAGCTGGTGTCACCAGATCAGTAAATAAGGCTGAACAACCAAATGGAACTTGCTTGATTAAATAAGTACAACAAGCTCTCTTGAGAGACAGCTTCCTCAGGTTTCTTGAATGAGATGAAGATCTTTTGCTTTCTAAACTGGAATCATTTCATCATTTATTTTTCTTATTTTTCCCTTTGGTCTTTGTAAAAGTAGTTAACAGGATATACACAGCCAGAGAGACAGAGAGGGCGGGAGGTGGGGGGAACAAAGGTCACAGTTTCCCTTCTAGGCCACTGTGGCACTTGGCTTTACCTTTCCTTTAGCTTATTCACTGAAGTGGGTGAAGACTGAAGATTTTAAAAGCAAAGAGTGTACGGATTTCATGTAGTCTAGTTACAGAGATATGAGTTTCATCAGGCCTAAAGCACAAGTATCCCACCAACCATGGCTATAAGAGTGAAGTGTGGCCACCAGGGCTGCAGTGTGAGTGGGCACTGACCTTTTAGATTACTGCCTACGCCTCCATTAAGAAGAGCATCCAGAATGACAGCCATGCCTCTGAGGAAGCCCAGCATTCCACACTGGAAGCCCAAGCAGTGAAAATCGACTTGGCGTGGAATTCTCCTCTCCCGGGGCCCCATCCTGGGAACCAGGGGCACAGGACAGCCTGTTGGCAGATTCCAGTCACTTAGGAGCTTTCTTTTATGACTCTGCTTTGCAAGAATGCATCTAGTTAAATCCACAGGGTCATTGTCTGTGGCTTTCAAAACATGAGGTTTTATGAAGGAATGCGGACCTGGAATCCAAGGTTCAGAGCCCAGGCCTTCAAACAGATTAATCGTCATGGGGAGCATCAGAAGAGTTTTCCAACCTTGGCTTCATCCTGTGGCCTAGCAACCATGGGGCCCCTATTCAGCAGACCCAGCTTTCCACTATGTGGTGTTGGACAGAGCACCGGGCAGGGAGCCAAGAACTGCGATGGTTTCATTTCAGCCCTCCAACTGGCTCCCTGTGTGCCCACCTGCCGAGCAGGTTCTTAACTACCCATTCTGTACTTCCAGCTTATTAAGTTAGGAGGAGAACAATAATGCCTCAAGACACAGAGTCCTGGGAAGGGTGGGACAGGTGGATGTGTGTTTGTTAGGTGGTGGATTGGCAGGGGTTGGTGTCTGGAGGGGAGGTAAATCATTTATGATGGAGAGAGCATCTTGCTTTGTCTGGTGTCTAAAACAAGCACCTCCTTGCTGCTCTTAAACTTGCCTTCTGACAAGATGAAGAAGAGAGATGGGCAAACCAAAGACACAAACAGAAGTGGGAAGCAAGTGAAGAACGGAGTCTGCGCTGGGAGCTTCGTGGAGCCTCCCTTAAGAATACTCTGGAGTCCTGCGCTTAAATTTTAAATATATTTTTCCAAGTTTGAATTTAAAATAATATATTCTCCCAGCATAAGGGTCCTATGAGAGGTACTAAATAAGTGAAAATCAGTAAAACAGTTTTAAATGTCAGCTAGAAATCAGCTCTAATTAGCAGACATGTTGCCTTCTGTGTCAGACAGGTAGCCGGTGGGCTTCCTGTGATTTAATAATGGTGATGATGGTAGCTTGCATTCATTGAGTATCTATGGTGTGCCAAACATGGGGCCCATACTTTTCTATAGATTACTTCCTTCTTTCCTTATAATAGCTGCAAAAGGTAAAGTGTTTGCCACCATCCTCATTTCATAGATTGGAGAATCCATGTCCACACCCAGGAATGAAACACTTTTCTGCGAGTGAGTCAGGATGAGCCCAAGTTCAGTGGATTCTAAAGCCCGAGTACTAGCCCTTTCCACTGCTCTGCCAGGGATTGCCATGATTACCTCCTACCATCACATGAGAAAGGGGCTCCAGAATGGAAAGCACCATCCACAAAGTACCAGGCCTGGGCAGAGTTGTCCAATTTAACAAGGGAAGATGCACCATGCCGACTTAAATTTGCATTTTAGATAATTTTTTAAAAAACAATAGTTTACTGTAAGTACGGTCCATGTGCCATCTGAATACATTTGTGCTAAGAAATTGTTTGTTGTTTATCTGAAATTCAAATATAATCGTGTTCCCTTATTTTATCTTGCAACTCTCTCCCTGGGTGACATAGTTGCTCTGGAAAAGAGAGTTCTTTCCATTAATCTATGCCAGCCGGGGATCTCAGAAAAGGACCTGCTTGGTAAGCTCCTCTTTATAACTTACCTCTCAGTTTTTCCCCTCCACCCAAGTTGATGTTAGAGCTACTTGCTTCTCTAGACAGGTTGTAGTCTAAGACCCTTAGGCGCTTGTCATGGATACAGGTGACTAAGCAAAAGGGAGATGTAGATACCTGGTGGGAAAAAACAACTTTGTATAAATGGGCCATTGTGTTCAGGGGAGGAGTTCAGTGGCAATTTCTGCTCAGAGAGTAATAAGAACTGGAGGCTTGTGCCCTCCAGCTGTCTGTGACTCAGAGATGAATTTTCTTTGGCTCAGTGATTGCTGAGGCCCTACCCTTTATCCAACAAAGTGTCCATGTATCTTATATTTTTATACTTGGCTTCTGGCCTGTGCTGCTCCTTTATTTCATCTGTCTGTACCCTCTCCCCAGCCATTTAAATTGGTAACCTCTTTTACGAAAATAGCTCTCCGGGAGATATCCAGAATTTAATTTCAACTCTAACACTGCATTGGATTGATGTCATAATTTAGACAAATGCATTCAGGTTTTAATACATTTATAAATATTCCCAGAGATCATCGTATTTTATATGTATGGCAGCAGCCACTGGTAAAATTCTAGGAAGGCCCAAGGTAGAGAATACCCGTGCGTGACTGAGCATTGCAGGAAGTTGTCACCTCTGAGCCATGAAAGGGCAAGGTGTAAACATGGGTAGGAACTAACATGAAGAAGGAAGTTCAGGGGCTGTTTCCTGTGGTATGAAATATCCTGCTCAAGAAAGTCTTTCTCTCCAAAGAAACAAAGGGAAGGTCTGAAATCCTTTAACAAAAGAAAAAATAGGTGCCGTGCTTTCATTCTGCCTGCCCTGCTATAAGCCAGATGTTGAGTTTAGAAGACTTCAGCCTTAATCATGGCTGAACCATTCCTGAACAGCACCATGCTGTGAATCACTGATTGAGATCTGCTCAAGTGTAGAAAGAAGTTGTTTAGGGTTTTGAGAAGTGATATAAATAAATCTTGTTCACAGTTTCATGAACCACCATTTTTTTTTTTGCTTATTGCTATAGTCACATCTTTTATTGAGCATCAGTAGATGCAATAAGTTGCCATAGGAATGATTTGAAAACTCTACGATATAAGAAGGTGTTGGTGGGGCTGTTGCATGGTTCTTAAACTTCCTTTGTGTCAGCTCCGAACCCAGGTTCTGATTTATAAGTGATCTGTCCCATAGTTAAAGAGATGGGCTTCAGCTATGAAAAAATTACATTTAGACAAAGGAGGAAAAAAATGCATCTCGGGTTTCTTCCTCTTCCTAGTCTCAAGAAGGGTGGATTTTGAGAGGCAGTAGAAGTCGTTGAGTAGGGGAGTATAAATGCTAAAGCCTGTTATGTATTTAAATCTGGCTGGTGACAATTCATCTTCATATCCTTTTTATCTTCATCCAAACCATTAGGTAATCAAGTTCAGACTATTCACATATGCATTTTCAATATTTAGCTTCAGGCCATTTAAACCAAGGTGCATTTCCGTGATTAAAAGTGGCACAATAAGGAGAGTTATGAAAAATGACTCTAAAAGAAGAAAATTGGAGAGATAAGCTAAATAAACGAAACCAATTAGAAAGCAGGCTTCACAAAGAGATGAAAATACATGTAATTTTGTGGGAGAAATAGATAATGTTAGTTAAAGGTTTATAAAGTGCTTGGGGGAAAATGAGAGTCAGCCATTTAAATGTGAGGCAGAGAGATGAGCTGGCAATCAGTGGAGTTGATGGAGAGGGGGAATAAATTATTTGAGATTCAAGATTTTAAATAGGGTTTCAGTAGTGTTTGGAGACAGAATGTCGGACGACCAACATGGGTGAATTACAGAGATCAAGGTGGGAGGGAATGCACACAATTGAGAAGTCTGGGTGAAGAAAAGAAAAAGAATGAATTCTAGGAGACAAACGTGGGTTTGAGCGCTAATGAATAGCATATTGAGGCTAAAATATGAAAATTCGGCACAAATATAAGATTGGCAGATTAAACAGTTAAGAAATTACATGAATATAATAGGAATTAGAAAAGAGCAGGTGGAAAATAGGGCATTTTATATTTCTCTTTTAGGATTAAGAGATCTAATTGCAAATGGGGGGGTGTTGAGATGAATTAAATTAATGTGCTTTTGGCAAATAAAGGAAGATAATATGGAAGAGAGACGAACTTATGGCCCCACCCATTAAAAAGTAAACCTAAATTGAACCATATTTTGTGTTTCTTGCTTTTTCCAGGAAGCAGGCTCTTGAAAATTCTCATGCAAACTGCCCATTCCTTACACTATTCAAACTCCTTCCAGTGGACAATTCGTAAGCCTTTTCTCTCATAATTTGCAATCGTTTCTACGTTTCAGGTAAAAGATTTCCCCCAGTTGTTATCATGTGTGTAGGTTTCATGTCTCTGGCGCTGTTTCTCAAGGCAAGGAGTGAGATCTTTGTGTCACTTGTCTTCTTTTTGTTCCCCAGAGGAAAAGGACCTGATTGCTCTCTTCCAGTGGTTTTATTTTTCTGTTTTACAGTTGCACAAAACAATTAGGGACCCAAATAGAGTCATATTTTAAGAGGAAGAGGGGGAAAGTTAAATTCAGAAAGTCATCTGGCTAGAAGTTTAGAAGAATATTAACTGATGAGAGCCACTTCAAGCAAATGTCTGACCGCAGGAAGGTCACAGTGACCAAGGCGAACAAAGACCTTTCAAGTTGAAAATGGAAAGTTAACTCCAGCGTCATTTCACCTGACAAGGACTATCCACATACTTAACACAAATGGATGTTTTTTCTTTTCCTTGGGCAGGCAACATCATTACATAATTTTTCTAAAAGGGGTTGTCCTCTTGCTCTGATAACTATGGAGTGGTTTGTACCTTACCAAGATGAATGTTCTTAGGCCCCTCTGATGTTGAATTTGACAGGACATTTTTCCAAGCATTTGTAAAGACACGGGCGAGTCCCATCTTTAGAGAAAAAGACGGATTTAACTATGGAAGCCATGGAGAAGTTCATGTGGTTGACTTATAGGAGTCTATTGACATGTATACAGTTTTCTTTTCCTTTCTTTTCTTTTCTTTTCTTTTTTCTCTTTTTAACATGAAAGATGATCTGGTCTCAGTGGGAGTCACAGCAAAAAAGGTACAGAATTGACGGTGACTTATTAATTTATTAAAAGAGAAGTAATGCTGCATGAAGGTGTATTCAGGTGATTTATAGTGCATTTGTCAGGCACCAGTTCATGAACTCTCCTGCCTTCAGCTCACTAGTACATCCACTGGCAGAACACGGGAGATTTCTTTTCCTTATCACCAAATGACCACTTGAGTTAGGCCCCTCATATTAGGTCTCAATAAAGCTGTCTCTCTGCTCTGAAGTGATTCCCCCCAACTGTGTGATTAAGGCTGTCCCTTTGCAGTTTTCCAGTGAAAACAAATGGGAATTTTTCCTGTGAAACAGAAGTCTGTGTTACAAGGCATTAAGCATTCTTTATGACACGAGCTCAGTTTTCTCTGCTGGAGAGCTAGTGCAGCACTTCCTGGGATCAGAGCAGGGCACGGGGAACTGAAGATGCTGTTAGGCACTTTAAAGTGCTCAAAATTCCTTTCAGCCCAGTTCCAACGTGATTCCGGCCTGCCCGGGTTTCCGGAAGGTGGGGGCATAGATTGTTTCACTGGGAAGTGACAGAGAAGGGGAGAATCTATAAGTGTGACTTTCACAAAAAAGAAAGCACATTTCACGGTGCCTGGTTAAGGCTCTGGATTGTGGAGTAGGGACTTGAATGGTCTATTACTGCATATAAATTGAAATTCTTTCTGGATTTACCTCCAGTCTAGGTTTGAAAAGGTTGGGATGTTTGTTTCTCCACTGATGCCCTGATTTTTTTGTTTGTTGGTTTGTTTTATGTTTTTTAATCTCTCCCTGCTGTCATTACAATCTTCAAAAATTTTTATGTCATTTTATACTAGAAGCCGGCCTTTCGACCTTGTGTAGAGCAATTGTTTCCTTCTTCTCTCTTGTTCCTTCCACCACTTCTTTCTCAAGTCTCACGGTGGGCCAGGCACACCTTTGGCGATAAGGATTCCAAGCTAGAGGGTGATAGACTTGCAAAAAGGAAATGGACAAATCCATGTGTCCATTGTCAGCGCCCCTCTACTAGTAATACACAGAGAGAAAGCAACAGAGCGTTCACTGTCAGGGATTCACACCATCCACTGTCGTATGGATGAAAAGGGCACAGTCAATAGCGATAGTCCTCCTGGGCTATAGGAAAGGACAGCCAAGAGCCCTGGAAAGGATTTCTGAATTAGACTGCAAGCTCTACAAGCACTTCTGAGTCACCAGCACAGAGCACCTAATACCACTTGAACAATGAAGGAGCTTAAGTATTGGGTGATGATGGATGGATGAGTGAAAGAAGGAATGGATGGAGAAGAAAGGGATATTTGAGATAATTTACCTCTTGAAAGGTGAGTAAATATCAGTGTATAGGTGGAAGAGTACAGCTGCTTAAAACGGTAATGCAGGAGACATTGTTTGAGAGGTCCGAGGCATTATACATACACGAAGTTTAAATATTTATACATATATTGTATTCTGTCAGGCCATGGCTATGTGTTTTTATTGTCTTACCCTGTAGTCTTCCCAGGGTAACCTTTGTAAGTTCTCAGTACAAAGGGTTGTTAGAATGAATGAAGGTGTTGGGGCCATCACAGAATTTTAATTAACATAGTGAAATGGTGAAATCCATATTTTAGAAAGGTGATCCTGGCATTGGTATGGGGTGCAGCTTTATATTACAGCAGTATAGATCAAGGCTTATATTTTAAGAGGAAGGGAGGGGGAGAAAGAGAGAGAGAGAGAGAGAGAGAGAGAAAAGGAAAGAGAAAGAGAGGAATTAGCATGCATTGCTCTATTTTTATATATTAATACACTGCCACATGATGTATTTCTTACAGTGTCATGAGCAAAAGCACTTCAGGAAATCACACAAGCAATAATGTGTTAGAACTGGAGAAAGAGAGACAGCAAGATGCCCTATGTTTGGGCCAGGGATTTAGCTCAGTGGCATCACACCTGCCTCGCAAGCACAAGGTCCTGAATTCGATCCTTGGTACCAAACAAACAAACAGAAAGATAGCCCATATTTGTAACTGAGGTAGAAAATAATGAAGGACTGGACTTAGCAGCTGCTTTGCATAGCAAGAAGCTACACTGAGCCGATTTTTTTGCTGCATTATATACAGTGTATTTCTCGGTTGAATTTTTCAGGACAATGAATGAGAAAAGAAATTGATAAGATGGAAGGAAACTTCAAATTTATTTGATTTTGTCTTCTGTTTGTTATAAAGCTGAGGTACCTCAGCTCATCTTACTGCATTTGTTTTAGGAAAAAAATATGTATGTTATAAATGGTATTACCAATTTTCATGGTGTGTGAGTCCCACATCTGAAGTGCAGATTTATAGATATTTCAGAGAAGGAAAAACAGCTGCAATGGAAGGATCAGAATGTATAACTGGAGGCTGTGCTAGTTTCCTATAGCTGCTCTAACCCATATAAACTGGTGGTTTAGAGCAACTCAGCTTTCCTCTCTCGTGGCTGTTCTAGAGACTAGAAATCTGAAGGGGTGTTTTTTTGCCCAAGATCTATTTATAACACTGCTGTCATGTTCCCCAAAAGCCTGCATGAAAGTCTTATTCTCTGGGCTCTGGAGCTTACTGGGATTTGGCGAACCTTTGAGGTGGGGGCTGGTAGGAGGTCTTTAGGGCCTTGAAGGTACAGTAGGACCCCAGCTCACTTTCTCTTTCCACTTCATGGTCATGGAATAATGAGTTTTGCTCTGTCCCACACTCCTACCACAATGTATTGCTTTACCAGGGACCCAAAAGCAACAGGGCCAACTGAACATGGACAAAGCCTCCAAAACTTTGAGCCGATATAAACCTTTTCCCTTTCTAAGTTGATTATCTCAGGTGTTTGTTATAGTCTGGAAAGCTGACCAATACAGCATGTAAAGCAACGCTAAGGAAAAAGGACTATGTATAAGCTTGTACTCAGGCAAACAGGAGGGTGAAGGATGTGCCCCAGATTGTGAGTAGAGTTTCTTTTCTTTCTTGTCATGAAAATGTGCTTACTGGTTGCTAATGCAAGCTGCATGTTTGCTATTGGAGTGCTACATCTATAATTTAGAGCAATTGCTTCATCTCTCAGGTTCTTAAAACCTCTTCTATAAAATAAGTGATTTAAACAGGATGGTTCTGAGTTCCTTTCAACTTTCAAGTTTATTTTCTGCCAGGAGAAGGACCCAGCGGGTGTGTGATGCCCCCAGCCCTCTCTCCTCCATTCTTGCGTGGTTAAGTACCTGCAGTTTTCTCACATTAGCACAAGACAGCTCACTGCCACCCGAGGATGCTCAACCCAGAGCAGCCTGTTTCTCCTCTACTGCAGGGGTCTCTGGAGGACTCCGCGGTGGAAGCTACCTCCTTAAGCACATTAAAAGTTTTATTGCAAAAATATAACTCGATAATGGGCGTATACATTGTCATTATAACTTTGCAAGGAAGAGTATTCAATTTGGAAAAGAAGAGAGCAGATGGAAGCTTACTCCAGGAGCACATAACACAGCCTCGTGGAACTTGAGTTGTGTAGCGGTTGCTTGTTAAATATGAATGCAGAGGTCTAGGAAAACGGCTCACCACGCAGGCTCCACTTTTGAAGGAAATCTCTGAAGAATGAGCCATGTCGTCAGCTTACTCGCTTTTCCTTGCACTTCAGAGCTGAAAACCTGGCATGGCTCTCACCCTCGGGTTCAGACAGTCCCCTCAGCCTCAGAACCTCTGACCTTGTCAGGCAATGACTGTGTTCCCCTCCGTTCGGCATCTGACACCCCTGGTGTTGTATTCTCTCCACGACTGAGGGTTTCAAACAGCCCTGCAGCCAGGAGCAGCTAAGGCTGTCAATGGCCTCAAGCAGTGTGAGCGCTTAGAGCTCTGAATCTGAGCACCTCTAGGCTATGGCTTCAGTCCTGAAAAACCCCTCTGTGTTGTGCCTTCCCTTGGCTTCAGTCCTGCACTTAATGACTTACCGGACACCCAGCAGACACCCTTCTCTGGGACTCCCTTCCAGTCTGTCAAGGCGATGACCCTGCAGTTTTCCTTCTGCCAAAACAGAAGGAGAGGGAGAAAAGAGAAAGTTGAGCTGACTCTCGGGGACACTACTCCCTCTGAGATCTGGCCCAGATCTGGGCTCTCCTTCCCCTCAGGCAGCTCAGAGCTGCCTCTGCCTCAGCTACTGTGCCCACACAACATTTGGGGGCTCCTTGCCTTCATTAATATTTAACAGGGACCCTGCACTTACCATTTCTTCCCTTCAGTTTGGCCCGTTTAAGCACAATTTATATCTCTTCTATAAAACCTGGGTTTTTTTTTGCATAGGGGGCTAAAATGTCAGACACAGGGCATCGGCAATAAATGTTTTGTGAACAAATGAATGAATGCTTTGGAATTCCTTGTGTCTGTAGCCATGTGAGCTTATGCTGTAGAGGGAACAAGAAGAAGACACTATAATATTTTCACAAGCCTACTTTTCCCTTGGATGACACTCAGAAGCAGCATTCAGCATATTCTTGATAGAGTGTAAAGACCCCCAAAAGAGAACTTCTAGATGTGCTCCAGAAAATAGCAAGAACGATGGGATAAGTGTTGGACGTGAGGTAGTGCATTCTGAAGGGGATAGATGACAATGTGTCTCTTCTGTAATCATTTTTAAAGATTTACTATATATTTTAATCATATTGCTTAGGAATGAGACATCAAGCACACTATTTATGCTCCGTCTCTCCCCTCCTTTGTCACCAGTCTCCCTTTCTCTCTCGCTCTCTCGCTCTCTCTCTCTCTCTCACACACACACACACACACACACACACACAAATTCAATGGAACAACATACATAAACATGAAGGCTCACTATGTTCAAAGCACGTTGTCTCTACGAAGTATATAAATGAGAGAGACATAGTCCTCTTTATGAAGCATTTAGTTCTCATAAAAAGAGGCAAGGTTGGCTCTAAATGTCTTCAACCTAAAGGAAAATGAGATCCGTATCACAGACAAAGTCCCAACGCATCACCGAGGGACTTCCAGCTGAGAGTGTCAGGAAAAGCAGACTTTCCAAGAAGCTCAGAATTTCAACTAAATATTGGGCTATTAGTATGCATCAACTTTCACAGTGAAATGGGCCACTTGGAGTAACATCCCTTCCTAGCTCTCTCTTGGAGGTGCTGCGTTTCCTGTTCTGTTTGAAAATGCCTCCGTGGAGCCGAGGTAAGTTAGCAGCTGTAGTCAACAGAAACCTGTTGGAATGGCTGCCCACACTACCCGGGGACCTTCTTCCACTTCTCAGTCCTGTGTATCTGTTCCCCAGCTGGGTGGAATTTAACTAAATAGTACGTAAAACTGATGAAATATGAGCGAAAAGAGAGAAGACAGGAATTGTTATTTCTTTAGAGATTAGATTGCTCTAGAAAGATCAATCTCCCCAAAATCACCATTAAAAATAATAAAAGGAATTCCACTGAACAAAGCTCACGGACAGAAAAACCTTTGACTTCACATAAAATTGGGTTAACATAAATTGTGGGAGTTACCTATGTGTCACTTTTATGATCCCCTGTATAGCAAGCCTTTTTTCAGAGTTTTGCAAATTGTGTACGGTGTGATAGAGCCTTGGCCTGACTCCTCTCCTGACCCAGAGCTTCCTCCCATCACTGAAGGCTTACATCAGGGTCATTAGTGTCCTTTGACCCAACTTCTGCAGCAGTGCATTGAGTTGAACTTGGATTGCCAAAAATGCCAGAGGCTGACACTATGAATTCTGATAAGAAGAAGAGGAGAGGCCATTAAGTACTCTCTCCCACGTTCTTCTCATTCTACCTTTCCTCTGTGGGTAATGCTGTATCACATTTGCTGGTGTGTGAATATTCCTGTGCTAAGCCCTAAAACGGTTTCCAGAGATCAGCTGAGCCAACGTGTGTGCCCTACACCTAGATAATGTGCATTTGTGGGATGTGAGCCACAACCAAACATCTCATACATGTTCAGCTTTCAGGTGCTACTTGTAATTTTCTTGATAAAAGTAGTAACACACAAGTGACAAATTTGATAATTTCTGTCACTCTAGCATTTGAGATGTAACAATTGTCCTCACAACTCTGATAAGTGCTAGTGTTTATGTTATCAGTATTTTTCTATTTTAGCTATAGTTCTCCCCCTTATTCAGACTACTAATGGACAGTCCATTTTTTTCTTACTATATTTTAGTATGTAGCATATTTTGTAAGTTAAAAAATATATTTTCCATGAGAAACTACCTAAAAATCACTGTCAAAATGTATGTGGTTAAAAACACGTGCATTTTCTCCCCCAATAAATTCCTTTATAAAATGAACACACACCTTTTATATGTTAGCAAATGCAGTTTCCATCTCTTCTCCTGTAGGATGTAGGGTCTTTGAGTTCAGCTCTTTGTCTGACCCATCTCTGTATTCCTACCCTGAGAATGTTCAGTGCATGTTTATCAAAACAGGCCTGGGCATGCTCTGTAATGATGGTTATTTTACTTGGCCAGGCAATCCACATAGAAGTTCTATTTTAGATAATGGCCTATTCCACGGAATGTAGCTAACAGCTAACATTCTAACCATCTAATAATATGCCTTGTATCCATACATGTTTGAAGACATAAAGACTTATATTTATATATCAGATGTGGCTGACTCTATAAACCAGTTCCTGGTTCAGTCAAGCCAGCAAAGGAAAATACAGTCATTGGTTTGAAGAGGAGAAGAACCAATATTTGGGATGAAAATCCTAGCCTTTTGTTTATTTTCCACTTGGGCGAATGACACTTAACTTCTAGACCATTCACTTAATTTCTTTATATTTCTCATCAACAAAATGGGATCAATAATGATAAACTCTAGCTCATAGGCTGTTACGAAGATTGTTATGAAAATACGTTTAAATATGTATAGTACAGCCCCATATATATTTTGATATTTTTATAACAATGCTTGGCATATATATTTGGTGCTATGTACATATTTTCTATAAGTATTAGGCACAATGTGATTCTCATTGGTAGTGCAGTACATTAGCCAAGCCCTCATACGTCTCCTTGACCTATCAGAACCCAAAGAAATTAAATGTTTTAACAAATTAGTAGATAAAGTTCCTAGTAAATGATATGCTCAGTATTTTCTAAATTCAATGATCGATTTCACAAAACAAGATAGAGCTGTACTAGATGAAAGATCCATGGTACATATGATGCGGAAATAAGTCCTTGACAGGCTGAGAGAGGAACTCATTACTGGTATTTAGTATGGAGATCCAGTGAAGGAAACTAGTTTGGAAGCAACTTAGAGTGCCTCAGAAGCTAGTTACTTACAGTTTTGCTTTGTGTAACTATTAATCTCTATATATTTCCTAAAAATCCTGGTCCAGGTTAACATTGGGAATGATAAAATAGTACTATAGTGTTTTCTTTTTCAAATGTATGTCATGTGTTTGTCTCTAACTTAGAAGTGATTAATATTTCTAAAGGCACCAGGTTTTGTTATGCTATTGGCAGTCAATACCAGCACTCCACGCCCCCCGTCCCCCAGGCCAGAATGAAGAAGTTTTTGAAAGCGCAAGAATATCGTGCTCCCTCTCCAACCTAGTTAGAGCTGTGGAATCAGTGTGTGTCGGCAGGTGGGGGTTGAAATATCTCTTACTCTCCCAGACCCACCTCTCAGCTCCCAGGTTTGCAGCTAAGGTCTGAGTATTGCTATACTAACCCACCACCATCTGGTGGAAAATTACTGAAGTGCAAGCCCAAGATCGTGGGTAAAATACCTTTGTGAACAGTGGTTATTTCCACCAGCTTTCAGAGATGTGAGAACTATACAGGGCAACTGTCCTGTTACATCGGGTTTTCCAACAAATATATGAGAAGTGATGAAATCAGAGTATTGGGTTTGGGGATGCTTTATGTATAAATTAATACATATTTGTTCAGATTCTCACTAGTACAAATAACGGATTTAACAGCAGCCCATGACTGCTCACATCTGTCTCAGATCTGAGGCGAATTTCTGCCAGAATCTAAACTGACTTCTTTCCTTGCCTTACTTACACTTTTTCCAGACGAATTGCCTTCAGTAGCAGGAATACTTTTAAACCGCAGTGGTTCTATAGAATATTGTCTTTCGCAGAGACTAACAGGCAAGAAAGTTAGTGATTTTCAAAGCCACGTTTCTCCTGGCAGAACGTAGTGCTTTGGCTTTTCTGGCGTCACTTTTCCCAGCTGCCTTTTGTCACTTACCTAGCAGTTCTCCATCCTTACTTTCTTGCCCCAGAATGAGGTTCTTGACTGTTCGGCCCCCACTTGCTTGTTCCTTTCCATTGTTCCACACTTGCGAGTGTGGCGGCTTCCAATTTGCATATCGGAACTCTCCTTTCACTCCTCTTCCCTTCCTGATGTGTATCCTCTCCTCTCGGGCTTTCTTATTTTGTTGTTTTGGCTGTTTTTTTTTTTTTTT